ACAATCCAGGTGAGAACAAATGCTGCAGATGGTCAGCTAGGCAGGGTAGGAGGGATGGATAGATAAGAAGATGTACATGAAATGGAATTGAAAATTCTGTGGTTATAATCTCCATAGAGATTATACCAGACTTTATGAAACTGTTTGTACAAGAACATTTATTGGCAAACTAAAAATAGTCCTTAGGAAAGATCAGAGACATTTTAAAAATAGACAAAGCAATAGGGGGATGATTACAAAATATGGTATAAATGACTATACAGAGTTATGTAACACAAAGTGACTATGGAATTATTCTGGTTTCATATTAATAGGGGGGAAAACCCCAATGTCAGCTACTGCATGTAATTTTAAGGAGGCAAATATAAAAATACATGGAAATATCTATAGAAAGATATAATGCATTTTTTACTACAGGGAAAATTTAGACAGTTCTGTCAGATATTCATGACCTCTCTAAAGTCTCTTTCCTATTTTGTAATTCCCTTCAGCAGATATTCTATGTTGGAAAAAAACCCAACAAAACTACTGAAAGTTTTCGCAAAGAGAAAGAGTACTCACACCAGGAGAAAAACATTCAGGAGAAGTTTGAGGTAAGAAAGGGTAAAGCCAAAAATCAAATGGCACAAGGTATCCTTCTGAAATGAGACTAAAACTAAACATAGACGTAAACTGCTTGGTTTGACATAAACAAACCCAATAGTTTTGGCTTCCTTCTAGCCAATGGATATATATGTATTGAATTGTATGTATAAATACTGAATGTATACTTTGTTCTTAGTCCACCATTGTAGTAGTATGTTCACTTTTAGCTTTTTTCTCAGTTCAGAATAATCCTACAAAACCCCGGTAATTAAGATGTGATAAAAATGCCTATGAGGTAGTAGAAATTGAAGAAAAATCCATGTTGCTTTTTTCAATAGGTGCTGTATTGTTTAATATGTTATAGTAATATGCGAATATGTTTAACATTTAATATGTAAACTATACTAATATGACTATTTTCACACTGTATTTACTTTCTGTGAATTAAACAAAAAGGCGATGTCCAAACCTGCTTCTTGTGGCAATCCTTCAGGGCTGCTGCCAAGCTCTCTTTCAGCCTACCAGATGCCATTTCTACATCCAAAACCCATCAGGTTTCTGAAGCACAAAGTTCAGCCTGGGCTGGGTGGTCAAAAACTCACTGTTATCTCTGCCTCCCTTCGTAGGCCGGTGTGGTCTCCATGGAGCAGAGATGTACTGTATTGTATATTGTTTCCTCAAGGTGTAGCAACTTTTGCTACACCTTTTGAAGCAAAAAAAAAAAACCCCAAACATGCATAAATTTATGCTTGTAACATAAATGGTATATTTTGTACTAAAAATTAAGGAAGTTCATCTCAATCTTTACAAAGGATTTTCCTTACATCACTACTTTTTACAAACTTGAAATGAGAGTGGATTTTCCCTCCATTTTCTCTGCCACTGTATATTCAGTAAGATTTAGATGAGACATCAGATACTGGAGTTTTTTTACATATCCACTTGATTTGGACACAGACATACCGTCTTAAAGCTCCAAATAAGAAAGTCTGAAGTTTTTGTGTATACAGCCCCAGAGCAGGCATAGATAATACAGTGTTTTCTGTCTCCATGTGCTCAAACACAGCTATATCTTGGATAAACTTTCTCCAAGAAGCAAGCTGCATATACTTGTCTATTTAGTCTGGGACCTCCCTGCTGCGACAATCAATCATTAGGGCTACAGGCAACATTGATTTTATGCAACATGAATGCTTATGCATTCAGCACTGTTCTGAGAACAGTAAGTTATTGTCTCAGAAGTTGCTGATCTGCTCTCCCTGACCTTCCACTACCCAGTTAGCACACATGCTGGCTGGCCACCTGGCAAATATGAGGCTCAGAATCAGCTGAAAGGTTCAGCTGATAGGAGATGTGTGAGAGCACTGGAGGTTTGGAGAGTGTGTGCTAAAGGATAAGACAGCGTCCGAAACTATAACAGAAGATGAAGTAAAAAGAGCAGCTGAGGAGAGAAAGTATGAGAAATGCAATATTCAACCATAGTCTTGATCAGTTCTCTGACTTTTAGTATTTGTTTTTTCATTTTCATTACTTCCAAACAGTAAACTGTCTAAACGTCTTTTAAAAAACATTTTACGTACAAGAGAAAGATAGAAAATTTATTAAATTATAGTAAATTACACAGTATTAGATAATAAAATATTCTGAGTTTATATTATTTATTAATTTTTTCCAAATTTATATAACTAAAAGTAACATTCATGTAATTGAAAGTGTCTATTTAATCTACATCCCAAAGAGAGCAAAATTCATGAAGGCTATTTCACATAACTCAACATATCTGATCATTAGATCTACATTTGTCATGCTCCTTTTCTGTGCTATTATTTCCCAAGGGCAACATTTATATATTCCTCTGTATTCTCTTGAAATTTAAGATCAGCAACATTGTCAAAAAGTTTGGTAAGATGATGGGCTATTTGCATCCAAAAATATCAGATGTATAAGGAAACCATTTACATTAGATTTGTGTCAATCATACTAATGAATGCCTCTGGTAAAGTGGATGACTCTGACTGTTACATGATTACTAAACACAAGGTTTTTATGGGGAAAAGCTGGGCCAAAATGATAAATCAATGAATGGAGTTAATTACAATTCTGTCAGTTGTCAGAAGAGTCTGAAGGACAATGCTCAATATAAAACTGAGAAGTCTTGAAATTGTTATTATTTATAGCTAATGCTTATTCTACAAATTGCCTTATTAAGGTCTAAATGAATTTTGTAGCTACACATCTCTCCAAAGACCTTGGAATTTGAAAATTATTGTCTACACACCGATAGACTCTATGCCTGACACCTAAAACAGAAGACTTGTTTCCTCGCCTTATGTGTGGATGAAATAAATCACTGCGATTTAGTTATGCAAAGAATCTATGAGGGCCTACCATCATGTTTGAAAAGGTTCCATGTTCAAGCCTTTATCACCTCTGGAAGCATCAGTTCTTCAAAGTTACAACTCACAACCCTTCAAAAAAAAGGTTTTGCCTGAGGCACACAAAAAACTGTAGCACTCAGAAAATTGATGGCTGTGACTGGATGGTAACTGAGGCCAGGAGTATCATCTGGCATGTAGATAACATAGTATGAAGCTTCTGAAATACATCAAAGTGCCTGTGCTTTTATATGGATTGGTGTCACAAAACCTAGGAGATCATTGTTCAAGGGAGGAACACAGAAGAATAGCTACAAAACATTCCTCATGCAGGGGGCAGTAGCTTAGTCAGTAACAGCCTACCCAACACCATCCATCTTCCAGTCTTACTTATCATCACTATGCATGGCTTGCCTGAAATTTGATCAATCCATGCTAGAAGAATAGATTTGATGATCTCATTGACCTTTTTCCATCTCTAATTCCTGCAAACCTACAACCCAAAAATCCAGATAAATGCAAATATGCAACTTCCATGTGGCTAAATTTCCAGCAAAGACAGATCAGGATTTGTAACTTGTCTCTCATCTCTTCTTGCTCAACACCTTGTCTTAGCTGGGAGAAAAATAAGTTTACTACCTTCCTTAGGCAAAATGTTCCTATTTTCAAAATTAATTAGAAATTTGCTCAGAAAAAAAAAGTGCAGTTCAATGATATTATCAGCTCACAAGGTTAGCTGGAAAACTTGTCTTTCTGTAGAGAAAATGAAGTACATTCATGCACAAAGAGGCTCAGCTGTTTTGTCTGTGTTCCTCTTTAAAGGATGTCTAGCAAGTCTGCTGAAAAACCAAAATAGAAGAAAGGAAAAAGTATGTGCTTGCTTTCTAAGTATACAGCCAAAGCTTTTTCACAAAAAGAGAGTCTGAAAAAGAGACAAAGCTTTTAACAATCATCTTAAAGCCAGGAATTCCATCCCAGTTAAGGTAAAAATCAGACCAAACATTAGAACAGAGCCATGTAATGCACTGTTGATTTAAAATAAAAATTATGAACACAGCTGTAAAGAACAGAGAAGGTGGCAAGCCTTTCATGTTTCCTTTCCAGAAAATGAAAGGGAACATAATTTCATCCAGACCAATGAAACCAGAGGAATGGAATTGTGCCAGAGAAGTCTCCCCAAAAGGTAAGTCTGGGCAGGGGAAACTCCTCAACCTCCCAAAGAGTCCAGTCTTAGCAAGTAAACGATGAGAAAAAAAGAATTCTAACTCAACAGAGGGCAGTTATGAGCAGATAAATTTAAAAAGAAAGCCACCTAAGCAACAAATGAAAAAGTAGATAAGAATCACTTGAGTGGTGGAGCAAAGAAACCACTTTTTAAAAGATACACATATTATTTTTGATGTAAAAATAGTTAAAAGCATGAAAACACATTTGTATTGACACAAAAAGTACTAAGAATCAAAATGTTCAATTATATGCCTATCTGGAAAGAAAAAGAAGGCATATTTATTTCTGTCTGACTGATGCATTCCAGATATTAGCTTGGTATCTCTCAGATTTGTGTTGGGTTTTTTTTAACTTCCTCTGGCAACATTTCCCTGCAAGAAGAAAGAGACTGTGCCTCTAAACATGACTGCCTCTAAAGCCAGGAAGAGTGAATGCAGGTGGGAAGTTCAAAGCATTCCTGCAAGTGCATGGAAGGAGGACTTTGGCTGCATGAATCTACCACATCCTGTTGTGAAAGAAGGACTCCCAGAGTATGGACAGGGAGAAAGTGAATTTGATCCAAACAGAACACACTTTTAAGACCTTTGACAATTTTGACATCATGCCATCCCTAAATAACGAGCCTATGCGTCAAGTTGAACTGGTCATGTAAAAAGCAGTAGAAATCTAGTATGTCAAATAGGAACAAATGACAAAAAAATTCATCAGAACATCTCACACCTGCACAGAAAGGAAACAATCTGATAGCTCTCATTTCCTGCGTGTTGCAGAGCTACACTTTAGAACAGTTTGTGATCATACTGGAAATTTTACCTCTGCTGCAGAGCTTCAAAGCTTTCATACACCTTTGGCTTTCTTATAGCTTCCATCACATTTTCTTTATCTGTTATGTCAGTCACCAACTGCTGTACAGAAAGAAAGGGAGTTATTTCAACTCTCAAATTGATTTTTTCTACTTCATATGGTTTACTAAGCTGAGACAAGAAAAAATGGAAAAAAGAGCTGTAAGAATACACCTAATCGACTTGTTTTAATTTCTATTACTTAGATGGAAAAGAAAAATAATTAAAGCCACAAACACCTACTTTGATAGTGTTTAGACTGAATATGAAGGAGAAGTAAAATGAATAGAGAGAATTGCAAATATCACTGATGATACCATTAAAACTCTTCACCAAGATAAAAATGACAAATTTTAGCAGAATTATTAACTTAGAGTATTTCTGCTCATGCAAGCTCAGTGCCTTTTTCCATACACACCATGAAGAGAATTCAGTATGTTAAACACCACCAATCATTTCCTTGCTCTTAACAGGATTCTCAACTTATACAAAAAATATGATTTTTTAGCATATAGTGAAACCTACTGCTGTCAATGTTTCTAAATTGCAGATTAAAACAATTAGAAATATATTTGAAATTTCAAGCACAGAAACTCCCCTACAGAACATGATCCTATACTAGATTTTCAAAATTGTACATGATGAGGACTTTCCCTAGCATGTGTGGATTGAATTACAGGTATATTGGCAACATAAAATTATCATCTTTACTATGCAAGGGTTCAGTGACTCTTTTTGGTCAGAATGAACAATTAAGGCATATTGCTTTGTATCAGTTCAAGTGTTTATGTTGATTGTTGTAGTTACCTTTAGCCATTAAAAAATAACAGATCTTAAACTTGTGTTTCATGCATCACTCACCTAAATGACTTGCAGAAAAATGTGTGCACCTCAGCAGTATTTTATCTCTATGTGCCTCCAGGAGGTGAAAAAGCTAACAAAGAGTAAGTAAAAGAAGATACTAAAGACATGTGATGGAATGACCCACAGATCTTGGTCTCAAATTGTGACACCAGCAGCTGCCAGTCAGTGTGAAAGGAAAACAAGGCAGATAATTACTTTGATGAAGATACTACATGCATTGAAATTCCATCCAAATGGAAATGACAGAATCTGCATGTTTAATTTATTTTGCCAGCCTTTCACATGTTCAGTGAAATATACCACATATTTGCTTTTCAGAATCAATTGCATATGAAACTAAAAAAACAAACAAAACAAAAAAGGGCACTAAAGAAACAAAAAATGGCACTAATAAAAAATTATTTATCAAACAGAGGAACTAAAGCTAACAAGAGCTTAACAAATTCTCCTGTATTTTTTATTATTGTATATCATAAGAGAAGACATCTTTAAACACTGAAAATGAACAGCATATTAATAAAGGAACTTTTAAAAGTTGAAGGAGTGACAAGCTTAGAAAGTTGTTACTTTTTTTAACTCCTACATGGAGACAGGAATGTTTTTAGAATATGTATAGTTACATAGCATACATGTAAATCCCAGTACTAAAATCTGGAGAAAATATAAATCTGCAATAAAGATTCAGGAAAAAAAAAGCTTTAACTTGCCAAGTATATCAAGGGAGTGAATAACATTGATACAATAATAATATTTCTAATAATTAAATTCTTATTTAAACTTTCAAGCAGCTGTTCACTGGACTTTAATAAAGGAATTTCTATTCTTTTATGCTCTTGGTAAGAAAATTCCATGTCAGTCCATGTTTGGCTGATTTCTTCCAAAGTTTGGAAATAATAAGAGCAATAATTACAACATTTGTCTACATATATATCACATTTCATATTTGGAATTGAGGAATTTAATAAATTATATGTAATTCACAGTGATGGTAAACTACACCAAAGACAAAAGGTTCATTTTGCTAGGCTGTGAATTTTGATACCTAGGTAAGTCACATGAAAAGATTCAATTGTACCGTTAATTTCTTGAAACAAGACCTAAACAAACAAATAGTTTACTACATACTATTCTGCAAAAACAGAAGGAAAAAAAAGGTACCTCTCTCACCTTTTCACTACTCAACTCTTGCACAGCATTGACAACTACGCTTTGGACTTCATCTTCTACCCTTATGAAACTGGACTCCCAGAAGGTCTGAGAAGGTCTTCTGCAACTAAAAGCCTCCTGTAAAGAAAAGAGACAGCAGGGAGCAAATTAAGTCAATGAAAAAGTCTGACACAAGCAAATAACAAAGTGTTCAAATGGAATCTAACTAAAAAACACAATTAAATAAGTTAAACGCACTCTAGATACCAGATACACTTTTAGGTTTGTCACCAAAGTGTGGACTTAATTAGCCTAGCAGAAATATTTCTTGATGCTGTTACATGCTTTTTTTCTTGTTGCTTTGTTTTGTCTTGTACTCTGGTGTTCTGTACTTCATAACACTAAAGGTAATTTATGTGCACAGCTGCCATTGAAGATGATGTAAGATACAGACTCAGTATCTGCAGACTAGAAACATTGGGGAGTGATGCAGATATTTGCAGTATTTTGTTGCTACCTAGTAGGATTAATGAAATTCAATTTAAAAAACCTTTAATTTTTTATAAATTATTTGAAAAGGTGACAGTCAATTATTTTTTCATTTTCTTTTTGTTAAAAAATACCACAATTTTGTGCTAATACTGCTAGGAGGTTTCTGCATTGAAAAGAAGTTTAAACGTGCTTTTATTAAAATTGTATGTGATTAATCATTCTTATATTAAAGAAAAAGAGAAAAATTCTGTTGCACTCTGCTACACTTTTAGATTCAAAGGTTTTTTAATTTTAAAAATGAAAAAAATTGGAAATTGGTCTTCAATATTTTTCTCAAAAAGGTGTAAAATAAATGTATTAAAATTTTGAAAACCAAAAACTTCTCCATGTTATAGCCTATGAACCAAAACCACAGGGATATTTTTTGATGAAAAAAAACGTTTCAGAACTGGGTAGGTGGAGTTCACAATTTTGAAGCAATTTAGGAGAAAACATCTATGATGAAATCTGATTTTTCTCTTAGAAGATATAATAAATGGGCATGCAATAAAGATAATTTATTTCTGAATGAAACAAATACAAAACAAGAAGCAGCTTTATATATGTTAGATTCAAGACTTTGTATTCAACCACTGTGCTGTCTGTGAGGCACAGCTGTAGTGTCCTGCAAGTAGTAGGGGGAGTATTTGTTGTTACTTTTACTTCATACTTCTCTTGTCCCCTTGGAATTTTCTTCTGCAGGGCTACTGTCAACAAAACATTGAAATACTTCAAGCAAAAGAAGTGACCTCCCTTTAAAAATGAGCACCTTCCCTGCAGCTCCCAGCCCTCTGGAGCTATGTCCATGAGCAGAGCAGATGAACCTCTGCAAATTCCACCTGTAAAAGTGATTGTCGTCTGGAGGGGTCTGCCATAAATCCCCACCCTCTTTTTTTATTTCCCATATTGCCTCAACTCAGAGAAGTGACAGCATGATTTTACTTATAACTCCACAGGGGCTGCAAACCCATTCAGAAAAATAAAGTTTTAAAGGAAAGCCCCCAAAACAAAGCTTGTTCCAGAACATCCAGCTTGGACATGAGTAAAAAACCCACCAAAACATCCAAGTGGGTGGGAAGAGTGAGAGAGGGGTGGCACTGAGACAGATAAATTGCAGAAATAGATGGCTGTGGAACCTGCATTGGCAAACCCTCTGAGCTGCTCATCCATCTGTTCCACATTAATCTCTTGCCACTGGGTTTTAGTCCAATCATCAATGCTGCTCTGAAACAGAAAGTACAGATAAAAGCATCAACAACATTTGGTGAAGACAAGCTTCTGCTACAAAACAGATAAATGGATACAGAGGAAAGCCCATCCTACAGCAAGAGTTCACAGGCCTAAACTTTTTCCTACACCACCATTACTTAGCAAGCACACATGAAATCCATCTTCTCTAAATTCAACTTAAAGACCAAGAATTTCAACAGTCTCATGTTGCAGTATCTGATAAAAACATACCTGCACAACTTTCTTGCGCTATTAGACACTCAACTGTACCCACAGGTAACACACAAGTGCACCTGGGAGATTTTGGGAAGATGCCCTGGAACTCCTGCTGGGGGTGCCACCAACAAAATTACAGAAAGAAGATCTTGTACATGTATTTTTAACCTTGCCTATGAAAGACAGCATCTTGAGGGAAACAGAGCTTTGCAAGACTGACTCCCTATACAGATCTGTACACTGACTTTTCTGGACTCCTGCTTCTAGATATGTAGAGCTTTCTACTGTACAGTTCTGAGTTCTAAATTTGATTTTATGGATTTCTGAATTTTTACTCAGTTACTTAAACTAATCAAGCAAGTTCTGGGCATTAGGAAAGCTCTAAAGGAAACCACAAAGTTTGTTTTACTCTGGGATTATCTTGAAATTGGTTGACTTGGGAACAGAGATATTTTTACTCTGGGTATCCTAAAACATAGCAACTATTATTTTAAAAAACAAAAGAGACAGTAAAATCTTCAGTATTTAATTTTTTAAAAATCAAAACTATAGCACTTCTAGGATCAAATTTAAAATATAACATTCAAATATAGTTTAAATTTGGAAGCAATTTATAAGAAATGTTAAGAAAAAATCTTACATTAATATAAACATAAACATCCCACAATTTCTAGAGCAACTGCAGTTGTTTTCAACATTGTTTCATGTGCCTGTAGCCTGAAATAGATATTTCAAATAGGTCTGTAGCTATATTCCTGCATTAGAAACATTTATTTTTCCAGCATCTCAAGCTCTTGATTTGCTGGAAGAGGGAAGAAACACCCAAAGTACAGTTGTAGGGTATATTGAACGTACTTAACCTGTCAGTGAAATCTATAGATCCTGCATATATAAATCAAGATAAGAAAAGCTGAGAGAATTATGGCAAAGAGTCTACAAAGCAGCATTTGCATTGCCTCTGAAAGCACCCAAAAGCATACAAATGACTCTGTATTGAAACCACAAAAGAAAAGCTGCATAGAAAGAAGTTAATTTATATTCTTGCATTCTTTAACTTATTAAACCACTTCTTCTTAAAGTTATAGAGATGTTAACAAAGTCCCCTCATGATGTTTTAAAAAAGAGCCACTTCGCAGTCTACTTTAGGCTATTCTACTCAAGACCACATTATGCTGTGTAAAGACACATGAGAAAGTATTCTGAATTAAAAAAATTTTTTGCTAAGCATATGCAACACTGGAAGAGAAACAAGAAACCTGAATTTTGTGGCACTAGAATTATACCAGCATCTTGGGAAAAAAAAAAATCCCCAAACCAAGAAACAAAACTCCCCAAAACACCAGTAACATAAAAAAACCCTCCAAAACAATCCCTCAAGTAAACGCCAAACAAACAAAAACCAGCAGAAACCCAAAAGTTCCAACTCAAAAATATTTTAATGTGTACATTGAAATATTAACTTTGTACTGAAATATTACAAGCAAATATGTTTTTCTAAGAATCCTCATCACATTATTGAGATGAACATATGGATTTTCTACATCAAATCGAAAGGGAGCTTCCATTTTAAATCTTTCTCTGAATCCCATCTGCTTACCCATGAAGAACAGGTAGTGACATTATTAAGAAAAACAGAGACAGAAAGGGCTGAGCCCAGAATTCAACATATGTCAGGTAAAGAGTGCATTTTCTTCTGATTAACTGCAATGTTAGATGCCTGAAGAGGAAAAACTTTGTGCTATACTGACAGAGCTCTATTCTTTTGGCAATTCCTATTTAACAGAGTAACATTTTCTTTAAACAAAAAAAATCACACATGGTAGAAATACACCAGTAAGATCTGTATATTAAGAGTGAGAATATTCCTGCATCTACTCATAAATAAGAAATTACAGTGGAGGAATAATTTAACCAAAACTGTACTCTATGTCATAGTTTTACTAGAATGTTTTAGAATTCATTTTATGGATCACTGGCAATTATAAACTATTTGAACTTAATAAACTCAGATATTTTATGTATCATTATATAAAAGTTCATTTTAATTATGTTGGGACTCTTCCACACAGTAAAACAGAGTTCTACTCCTGCTGCTATACACAATTTTAAATATGTGCAGATGACCAGACAGTAGCTTTCTCATTCCACAAATGGTCATTTTTTGACCATGAAATCAAAGACAAACATCACTTATATATTTAGTTATAGTTCTAAGTACACACCTTAGGATCAAAATTCACCATCAGGAATAGGTTTTGAGGAGAATGCCCAATTAGTCTGATTTAAAATAAACTGACAAATTTAATCCACCTGAATATTCCACTTACTGTAGGTCTGATCTTCATACTGGTCAAGGGATTTCAACTTCCCCACATATTTCTGAGAAATAAAGGTATTTTCTGAACTTTCTAAGAATCTGCAAGGCAAAACCCCACATCTAATCAGGTTTGCTTTTTTTTTTTTTTTTTTCTTTTATCACTAGCATCTCATGAACAAATTCTGGTGGAAAGTTTTAGTTTCTCCTTCCTTTCATGTTATTAGCTATGTCAGTTTTCAATACTGGACTTCGTAGTACACAATAATTAAATTCCTGTGTGTCTAAAGCTCTCACAGGAGTTTCCATCCTCTGTGCATGAAAGCATGTTTGCTTGGGATCAGAACAAGAGGAAGGAACAGAGCACAATTTTCAAATAACTTGGATGTCTAGATCCCCCATAAGTATCTTTGAGGTCTTGTCCCCATAGAACAATAAATCTATTTATGGACTCCTATGAAAAGTAGGACCAAAATGTCTGCACTTGTTCCTTCAGTTCTTTAGAACATTTAAGCTTTCCCAAAGTAACCAGCATATTTTTGCTAATGATTTAATTATAACCTCCTCCTCATACCCCCACTTATTAGAATATAAATTAAGGTATTATGAACCAGCAGAAAAATTCACTTTTATTTTTGCATTGTTCAATACCTTTTTAATGTGTTCATCATGTTCGTTTGCAGTTATCTAGTTCTTCACTAAACAATTGCAATGAAATATTGCAATTTGGGCTAATTATCTCCACGGCCAGGGTTTTTTTTTTAGAAAGATTCCAAGATGGTTGAAAGCTTGAAAATAAAAGAGAAAAAACCCAAACAGCAGAGAAAGCAGCAGAATTCTCTTTCTGTAATACTCTCAACATGAAATCTGATCCAAAATATTTCTGAAGTGCAGAGATTGGCACTGTACCAAGCTATACTGTTGGTATGTGTCATGTGCTTACCAACAAACCAGATATTTCTTAATATGCTCTTAAATTGTCCCCAAAAGGTGAATTGTAGAATGCTAAAGAATTACAGATTAGCCCAGATCCTGAAAAGGATGGAACTAGGCTTTCCAGATCTAGACATATACCCTGCACTCTTGATACTTTCGAAATCACAGAATATTCTCAGTTGGAAGGGACACAAGGATCAAGTCCACCCCCTAAGTGAAATTCTATCCTGTACTTTTCTCACTTGTTTATTTTCTCCCCTTTTTTCCCCTCGGATATATTCATAAGTCACTAGGCTCTTTCTCCTGAGTCTCATAAAAATTCCAAGTCTTACTTGTAAGCTAATGTTTTTTGGAGGAAAAAAAGTTGCCTACTCCTGTAAAAGCTTACCAAACTAGTAGCAAGCAGTAATGCTTTCTTCAAGTTGCCTTCCATTCTCATTGGTATGTGTAAAGTTAAGACAAATTATCAGCCTTTTGAAAGAGTAGATATAATAATGTATGTGTTATCTAAAATCAGTGAGAAAACAAGTTCGGAAAGAAAGAGGGTAAACATTAAATGCAAGACACTCATTTAATCACTAACAATGCCAAAAGTGTCTACCTAAGGAAAATTCATTTATTCAAAATTAGTAGCTAAATATTCATTATTACTGCTTTATACCCACAAATTATTTGCAATACTCTGCCATAATTTTAGTCTAATACAGTGTCATAGAAATGTACATTTAAAAGTGACTTCGAGAGTAATTATTCCATGTTCCTGCTCCAAGAAGAGGTTTGCTATACCTATGCAATTTGCAGAAGAGGTTTTTCTAGCTCTCCCTGGAAGATTTTTCAGTAATGAAGTGCCTGTCACCTCCTCTAGCAATCTGTTCTAGCAATTCATAATGCTTGGCATAAAGTGGTTTTCTCTGTCATCAGACTTGAACCTTATACACTTTAAATTAAATTCATTATGTTCAGGGTGTAGAGAATAGACTATTTCCTTCCTTCCTATACAAAAATCTCTATTGTATTTGAAGATTTATGCCTCTCTTCTTCAGCCTCAATGACTATCAACAGATCCTTTTTCCTGAAGTGTAGTGCCTGAGCACAATACTCCACTAGAGGCTTCATCAAGGCTGACATGAGGTTTCACATCCTTATGCCTTTCAGGACAGCCACTCATTTGAACATTTACATACTTACCTCTTTCTTAATAACATGTCAAACATATGACAATGCCTAAATCGTATTTTAAAGAACTGTTTCTAATCAGTTATTTCCTGTCTTAAGTTCTTGTTATTCCTGTGTAAGAATGATACATGCTCCAGCAGAAACATGTTCCAACTACCCAGGTTAACCATGTGCTATACTAGATGGAGGGCCTGGACATGGATTCTCTGGGCCTCATGCAGACAAATACAAAATACAGCATGTTAGTGAGCTGAAAATCTCCCTGTTTCTTTGAATTGCATTTTAGATCTGGCTTTAGCTATGGGTTAACTTCTGATAGGAACCTGTCATCAGAACATCACTAAAGCAAGAA